CCACAATTTAATTCTTCGTATTGTTAGCCGACACTGGACAGCTGGTACATAATTGAATAGAGTTGTTTAAACATTTGTCGAAACATTCTCCAAAACTAGTATGGCTCAAGACACACCCCCAATGAAAGAATAGACCATTCCAAGCTTTTACTTGTTGTTAAACAAATGTTTAAATAACTCTAGTCAAAACTGTTTCAGTACGATACTACATCACTAAGTAACAAAATAAAAGCAAGTCGAACACAACTGATAAGTAGGGAAAAATTAAAACAAACATAATTTTGCACTTGAATACTGGTTGATGCTTGGTATTTGTTTTTCAATAAAATAGTTTCTTTGATTTTTCTTCTGTTTATATTATTTTCTCTGTCAATGATTTTAACATCTGAAAAAAACCAGAGTGATTATTGTAAGCCATGTACTTAAGTACAGAGGAAAGGACTTTTAAATGATCTTTTAATCTTGTCAGCAGGTTTCTCTGATTCTAAGAATGCTCACAGTCTTTACAAGTAGTTTAATACAAGGGTTCTGATGACCTAGTTTTCTTGCTCGTAGGAAAGACAATTTTACATTCATCCATGGTAAATTCTTTGTTTTCAACCATGCTTCTTGGATGGCATGTAAGAACATATGGATATATGGTACAGCACAATAAAAAGACTGTTTTTCTAAATCATTGGTTGTATCTTCAAACTGTCATTCATTTTGCAGGGATGATAAAGTTTCATTTCTGACTGTGAGAGGACACTTATTTTGCCAATTACATTGTGGCTTGAACACATTTATCTTTATCGAAAAAGCCAATTGAGAGGAACACGTATTTTTAGCTTTATGTTTTGTGTATTGGACGATGGAAAGAATTCCAGTGAATATAAACTCCTATGTGTATGAAAAAAACATCGGTATGAAATCTACTTTTTTTTTTAGTATCAAAACATTAAAAATTTTCTTTTTCCCCATAACTTCACTTTCTACCGTGAACGTGATGTTGGGGTGGATTACATTCATATATGAAAAATACTATCAATATAATAAATTTCCATAAAACTTTCATCCACATAACAGATCCAGAAAATTGGAGGATGGAATGAAGTAAAATGATAATTTCTTCAATTCTGATCACGATGGCCCGGCATTGACAGGTGGTTATGGTGCTCAACTCGCAATCTGTGGGTCGCGAGTTCAAATCCTCATCACATTAAACATGTTCGCCCTTTCAGCTGTGGGGGCATTATAATGGAGACGGTCAATCCCACTATTCGTTGGTAAAAGAGTAGCCCAAGAGTTGGCGGTGAGTGGTTATGACTAGTTTTACACTGCTAAATTAGGGAC